CCCATGAAGAGAGTTGTATATTACATACAGATTTCTTGTTCATTTGCATAAACTTTTACTCTGATTTTCTCAGTCAGATTGAATTTTTTTTCAAAAATTTCTTGAGCTAATTTACCTTAACGTTTCATAAGTAATTTTCAGCTCGCTGTTTTAAATCCTCATACAGATCGCCCGCTCATATTGTATATATTACATAACATACAGGTAAACGTACTTGTGAATCTTACTACAGTATAGTTACATGTACATAGCTTTCCAAAATGTATAGTAGGTTTATGGAATTCATGTACAGCACAATGTAAGGACTTTTTTTTCAAATGTAGTATTAACAATCTTACCCTTTTCCATAAAGGAAGAGTATTATCGTAATGTTCACCACATTGCTTTTGCTGTGTGTTTGTGATATCGCCAGTGGGAGAGTAGATAAAGGAATCGGAATCATTAAACATCTTGAATATTTCCTAAAAAAAATAAAACCAATTATAACCTACAGCACAGTAAAATGCAGAATATTACATCTGGGCATTAGGAGATGATGTTCATCTCTCAGGGGTGTGTGCAGGAGGATTCAGGGGTTTTAGAACTCCTCAGTCTTGGCAAACATTAATTTGAAAGTGAGATGAGTCTTTGTTTACAAAATAGGTAGAGGAAGCAAGAATGCTTAGCTGAAACCCCTCATCATGAAGCCCCTGTAAAGGGAGGTCAACTCTTCTGGATTTTCCGGGAGACTCCCGATTTCAGATCGAATCTCCCGGTCTCAAGATTTTAGCCCTAAATCTCCCAGACAGCACAATATTTTCATACAATGATATCAATTACTAAACCATCATTGTAGATTTTTATTTTCAAAGAAAACTTCAATGAATTATGCCGCCTTTCCTCAATCTTTAGATACGGTACCATATTTTCAATGAAATACCTACAGGCGTTGATTACGTATGCGCGCACATGAAAAATATATTTAGACTGATTGTGCAATGTCTAATCCCATTGGTTGAAACAAAATATGATGTCATTTGTGACGTCATGAATGTCGTCATTAACATTGTGTGACATAATCGTGGCAATTTCTCCAGATTTATAAAATTCAGGGGTTGATATCCCTGCCTGTACATACCCATGCCTAAGATTAATGCTAATTATTACTACCCATTATTATCATCATGATAAACAATAACTAATCATATGTTAACAAACCTCTAAAAGACGTCTTTCCAATTTTTCTTTTTCTTTGTCCTTGATGTCTTTTTGCATATTCTGTGAATAAAGTTTTTTTTGCAATTCATGAAAAAAAAAACCTTCATTTCCATACATTCAATTTTGATATTTAAAACATACAGCAGGTGTAGCAGATCTACATGCTGAGTCATGGTTACTGAAACAGCCTTGTTGGCTTCAGGCTTGTTTGTCGCATGAATAGATAACAGAAGCTTATATTGCATGAGGGGTGATTTAAAATTAATCAAAAAGAAAATAAAAAATAACACTATTCACCCTCCATACAATAGCTTGCCTCTGGAAAGATAAATCTTAAGTTCATTGGATGTAAGATTACTGTAGACTGTAATGTGCATTTTTTAGAATTTTTAATTACAAAATGCACTTTCCATATATTATTATCATAATTATTATCAAGAGATAAGCAAATGTAGAGTTTGACAATTCCTTGATAATTAATTATATACACCACGCAAATTAAATATAGCTGAGTTTAGACTTTTTGTCTTCAAGTCCACCACTGATATAATTGTCATACATACCGTATTCTTGACATTTTCTTTGATGTTGGTTACAGCAGATTTCATGGACTGCCATGTCCTTTCAAATCCTTTTTGTTGACCATCACCAACTCCTCTTGGTTTTCCACCACTTTGATGTTTGTCACACAGCTATATGATTACATACATCTCAATCAGACAATCAGTCTTTCAATCAACAGTGTGCTTACACAATGTCCATGAAATAATATTTTAGTCAATTATAGAGGATATTACATGGGTGCACATACGGATTTTATCTGGATATGAACCAATACAGCAATATGCAGAAATTATTATTAAGATCATAATATAATTTTGACTAGCTAATACCGGTAGTCCTTGTAATATAAAATATATCAGAAATTATGGGATATTATCGCCAATATTTTTTTTGAAGTTGACTATCACTAGTAGTTTCTAAAAAAAAATTTGGCGATGACATAATTTCTGATATATTTTATAAACATACTTGAAATATTAGTCAAAATTATCATAATTTCTGCTTATTGGTGTTAGTAATTTAATATTAAGTGAATGGATATGAATCAATATAAATAAATAGCGATATGTAATAATAATTCATAAATTTAGTACTAACATCAAGTTCAAGGTCAGTAGCATCTCCATCTGATAGGGGTAACACAGCAATCCTGTCAATCTTGTACACCTCATGGTTGCCAGGATACAACCCCAGCAGGGTTCTCTTGGTAATCACTAGTAACTTCCATTCTGTGCCTGGAACAAAATAATTATCATTATTATAATAATACAAAATTGTACAAAATCTGTCTTGGAGAAATGTTACAGTATAATACATGTATATATGCACCACAAACTTCCCAATCCTCACAGTTCTAACTAAACCATCAACTTAAATAATCATAATAATTATATCTCGTAAGAAATCAGTCTTGCTAAGAGACAGCTTTTTGGGAAAAAATGAAAAACAACATTTTATGCAATGTAACACACAGCAAAGATACATGCCCTGCAATGCTTACTTCTTACATGGTATACTGAATATTTAAAAATGAAAAAAAGTGTATTGTACAATGTGTTTTATAAAATACACAATACATGTACAATATTTAATTGGATTCACCCATGGGGGGTTTGTCAGAAACAGTTTACAATTCTAAGGATCTATTCATGTGTCAGGCCTGCAATTTGATGCTTTTAGTCATCAGGATAAGTTGCTACAGTCTATCGAGGTTTATTCTTTCTACAAACTTATGAAAATGCCAGTTCTCCGATTATTTTGTTTTGAAAAACAATTATAGAATGGTTGTACATTAGACGATGTGCTTTATTGGCCCACTTATTAAGACTCCTGGGGTTTTTGTTTGTACACCAAAAAGTGAGCACATATTTATCAGCCAACTACATAAACATAAAACATTTTATAAAATATTTTGTGGCCAAATGGATTGGAGGAAACATCTTTAATATTAAATATAACTCTTATGGTGGATCAGAAGATGAGTGGTTAGGAAAAATAATTGGGTGTGATCATGAATTTGAATTTCCATCAAGGTACAATTTTGTACAATTAATTAACAGAATTAAGATTGAGAAAAATAATACATGTATGAAATGATTGCTACAATTTTATTTTTGTTGAAACAAAAGCGCACAAGAATAACAATTACAACAACAAACAAAATAGATAAAGAGAAAAATAACTATAATGATAACAATAGAAAATAATGAATTATTTCTCTAAGAAAAAAACGTTTCAATTTATGAAGTATCTATCTCTTGGAATTACTATAAGAAAAGCATAAACAAATATTGAAAATGTAAGCAACTTTATTCTTTGTAAACACTTCAAAAATGTAAGCTGATGTACATCAAGGCACTAGATTTAGAGGGCATGTGCATTAGAACTCAATAAAAATGCACTCAGACAACATTTCCACTTGGTCAATTAAGATATTAGGAAATATGCAAGAAACCCCAAACATTGTCAATAATATCCAATCTTTTTCCACTCAGTTTTTATATTTAGTTGATGTGCAACCAAATAATTACAATGTTATTAATTTTTGTTGAGCGAAAATATTCAATCTTTTTCGTTTGATGGAGTAAATGTTTAGCTTTTTTGCAAAGATCAACTTTTCACGTTGCCCATATGAGAGAATTGAAGAAAAAAAAAATGAGATCACACCCTGATTAAAATTTACTATTTTCACGATATTATAGTTTCTAAGGCTTAAAAATAGCCGAGAGATTAAATAATGATTGGCTTTGTTTTGTGCAAAGTGTTGATATATAAATGTTTCAATTTCTAAGCGAAGAAATTGATAGGTGCAGAAAATATGTTCTCTGTGGGCAGACAGCAAGCACGAAAATTTGCATAGATCTACGATCAACATGCTGATAAAACAACTCCGCACAAAGGCCATTAACCATTTATCCATCAAAATCTAGTCAAATTCAAACTGCAAATACTATATCTACGCATTTATTTCGACGATTTTTAGCCACTATAAAAATTGGCTGAAATTTTTGAAAGAATGGGTTTTTGGAAATTCGCCTTTGTTATAAACCCTGAGGGAATGAATTTTGAATAGCATTTTATAGGCTGATATTATAAAAACCACGAAAAGCTTTCAAGTAAAACAATGTCATTTAATTTCTAAAGCAAATCTTTCCCTCAAAAATTAATTGGGAAGGATAAAACGTCCTTACTACTAAAAAGAGAAAATAACGTAGAATTGAGGATATGAATGATAGTATCGAAACGAACTGAATTAAGAATTCCAAACAGATACCATAGCATAGAAAATAAAACAGCTTTGTAAATTCTTCTAATCAAAAAAAAGTAGAGAAACAAGAGAAGGAATCTTAGCTCACCGGGGAACAACTGAATCTTTCCAATGACGCCGTACACCTTTCCCTTGCAAACTGGGTCAAAGGCTTCGGTTGGCGGAACTCCTACAAGAAGAACACTTCAGAAATCGTGCAAATATATCTTTAGACAAAAATTCAACTCTTTTAGTTAACTTTTACTGGAAAATAATAGTCAAACAAACGTTGTAGCGCCTGTCCAGAACGTCAGCTCACCTTGACGAGGTACTATTCCACCATCCGATCTATTACACCAAAGACTGTAGTAGCCATCTGTGATGATATAATTATCCCTGGCTTGGAAGAGCTCCATGGCTCAGTGAATACGCTGAACAACGCTTCAAATCATACAGAATATTGCTGCTTGGTTTCATGTTAGCAGGTTCCAAACGCCGATGTCCGCCATCATTATTTACAACGGGAATGGCTCAAACTCCCATGGGGCCTTGCGCAATTCAAAAGGTGTGAGATCGGGGGAAGACTGGGCTCCATACACCGGAACACCGGAAGTAGGAAGACGTTCCAACAGGCAGGCAGGAAGAAAATTTTTTTACTTGCAGAAAAACAGAAGAAATGAAAAAAAAAAACTCTTTTTCTGTGCGGATAAAAGAATCCTTTATAGCACTATATACTTCGTAATATTACTGTACATAAACTGCTTTTATAGACAAGTTGATTCTCAGTTTCAGTGCAGCTGGTCTGGTCCGATGGTCCTGTAGGCTTCGATTGACTAGATTGATGTTTAATCATATTCATATTTCTTTAACTACATGTTTGACGCACACAAATTAATGAATTACATACTATTTTCGCCACATGATAAACAGAGTCCGTGGAAACTGCTCCGGAATTCGGAACTTGGAATATGAAGTTTGAGTCCATAATGGAATCTATTTCCAATAATGTAGGTCAGGAAGAATCTTGATCCACTATGATAGATTCCGTCATCAGTCATCATCATATCTCCTCGCGCCAGTAGGTCTTCACCACCTCTTTCCAGCCATCTCTATCTCTTGCTGCCATTTTGTCTTCATTCCAAGTCTTCAATCCTGCGCTGTCCCTTTCTTTCAGTATCGTTCTTCTCCAAGTAGCCTTTGGTCTTCCGCACTCCTTGTTATATTTATCATAGCATCCGGAATACAACAAGGTACCGGATGCAGTGTCGATCGGACGGTGCGATATGTATTTTTTCCTTTTTTCTCGTATAGCATTTTACTTGAATACACTCATGCGTGTATGCTAGCGGAAATACTTACACGCTGAATGTACAACGTACGAAGAAGAGCGGGGCCTCGTTTTTCATTAGTCTCCTTCGCAGCATCCCCTTTTGTCGGGCTTCCTGTCCCTCCCTCCATCTTTTTTGAGGGACAGCAAGCCCGACAAAAGGGAAGCCTGCGAAGGAGACTATGTTTTTCATTAATGGAGTTTAAACAACTGCACAAACTTGTCATACGAAATATAATTTTATTTTCATTCGCCCTTAGTTTATAAATCATTATTTCATTCAGGTTTCATAATATATTCTCGAGGCTTGACCTCAGCAAGTAGATAAATTACTCGATTCATATTCCTTACAGCAAGTCCAAAACAAAAGTTCTTTCGTATTCAAATTTTCAGGAGCCTGCTAAGAAGCCACCCCTTGTGTCAAAAGGGGCGGCTGCTTAGGATACCATGATTTTATAAATAGCCGACTTGCGAATTACGCATCAATAGTCACATACAAAGGAATCAAGACGAGGCGCCGTGCTAAAGACAATAGATTTTTCACAAAAAAGCACGGCGCCTCGTCTTGATTCCTTTGTATGTGACTATTGATGCGTAATTCGCAAGTCGGCTATTGATTCTCGCTCTTGTAAAGTAAAATGCGCCTTCATAACTCATCTGTTTGTATTGCTCCAAATTTTCATGAAGTCAAAAATCATATACAATTTCCGTTAAAACGCATTTCATACGACGGCTGTTTCCCATAAAATATTACGAAAGCACCACAATATACATTTAATGTCAAGATTTCACTGCTATATCGGCACTTCCAGAACGTTTGACGCCCAGGTTATCATTTCTGCAGCAGCGACTGGCCAGTCATTTCAGGAGGAATGTCCAGACCCATGACGTCAAGAACGGTCGTTGCTACGTCACACAAAGCGGCATTATGGGTAAAATTACGATACTTGTGACCCCCAGTCATGACAAACGGCACTAAAAAATAAGTTGTGTTAAGGCAAATTAAGGACTGAATATACCTTTGGGGTCGGTTATAGAAAGAGAGGACATAGTTAATGTTAATTACAGAAAAAAAGTTATCAAATGTATAGGGTTTTTATGGATTTTTCGCTGGAGAAGGATTTATCCGGTGGATTTATCCTGGATAGCGTTCTTCAGTTTGACAACAACAATTATATTAATTGATTACGCAATGCTCATTGACCCCATATTGTCGCCATTTTCTCTCGCAAAGCATGATGGTTAATCAAGTACTCACGCTAAATCCACTATATCTAAAAAAAAAGCTAATGTCATAATGTGTCGTGTTCAAAATGGCGTTCACACTTCCCTGCAGCACATTGCCTATTAATAATGGTCTCACCTCTGTTTGTAGTATGTGCTGTATGTGGACCTCCTTTCTCACTAATCATTTGTTCAGCATTTCCATGGTCTGAGGTTACCATCAACGTGTATTTGTGTTCTTCACAAGCCTTGTGGATTCTACCAATAGCAGTGTCTGTGGATAGACAAATAAATCTTTAATGAAGTTACTTTCATCATTGAAAAGCAAGAAGAAAAAAGCAGAAACAGTAGGAAATATTATGGAAGGATAGCGGTGTTAGAGTGATCGCACTTAATCCGTGCAACTGTACAAACTAAATAGTTATATTTAGTTGTATTTAGTAAATCGTGCATGCGGTACGCAAATTAAATTGAATTGATACAAATGAAGCATTCAATACCGTCTTGCTTCAGGTCTACTTTTAGTACAAATTAGAACTACTTAGATTTTGTACAGTTGCACGGATTAAGTGCGTTCACTCTATTGGTGAGCCTTTGCACATTGCATTCCCTGAGTTAAGACGTGTCGTCAAATACGTGAGTTTGTAGAGTGCAAGAAATATATCCATGCAATACTTAGAGTGACCGCACTTAAAGCGTGCAACTGTACAAAATCTAAGTAGTATTAATTTGTACTAAAAGTGGACCCGAAGACGGTAATGAATGCTTCATTTGCATCAATTCAATTTAATTTGCGTACCACATGCACGATTTACTAAATACCAATAAATAATAAGTGCGATCGCTCTACGAAAAAATAATATTTACGAAATTGTGCTAAATTTTACTAAATTAGTATAAACTACGATTAATTTAGTGTGGTCACTGGGCCGTGGAATTATACTGTAAGGCGCTGCTATCACTATTGTAATTTAGTTTTGCACGGATATATTGTTTGAACTATAACTGTGATTTTTTACTTACCCGTAGCAGCGCAAGCGATTACAGCAGCGTCGTACTTGCCGGTGTGACCAACCATGTCAGGTGGTGCAAAGTTACACATCACAAAAGGGTGTTTTCCAGCTTCTACTGCTTTTATGACCTGGACAACATTATAAATGTGTCGTTAAGTCCATTTGAAGACGGAGAAGAAAAGATGAAGGGAAAAGATAACAAAGAAGAAGAAGAAGACAAGAAAAACAAGGAGACGAACAAAAACAAATAAGAAAAAGACGGTGTAGAAGAAAGGACAAGAACTAGGGTGGCCTAGTGGTTAAGCTGCTGGCCTCTCACCGCTGTGGTCCGGGTTCGATTCCCGGGCACGGACCATATGTGAGTTTGAGTTTGTTTGATGTGTTGTTCTCTCCCTTGCCACGAGGGTTTTTCTCCGGGT